CTGAACAACAAACAATGTCAGAAGCGTCTTACCTGGGCTAAAGAAAAACAGACCTGGTCTGTTGCTCATTGGTCCATAGTCCTCTTTTCTGATGAGAGCAACTTTTGCATCTCATTTGGAAACCAAGGACCCAGAGTATGGAGGAAGAATGGAGAGGCACACACACTGCAAGATGCTTGAAGTCCAGTGTGAAGTTTCCACAGTCTGTGTTGAGTTGGGGAGCCATGTCATCTGCTGGTGTTGGTCCACTGTGCTTCATTAAGTCCAGGGTCAACGCAGCCATCTACCAGGAGATTTTGGAGCACTTCATGCTTCCTTCCGCAGACGAGCTTTATGGGGATGCTGACTTCATTTTCCAGCAGGACTTGGCACCTGCCCACACTGTCAAAAGCACCAAAACCTGGTTCAATGACCGTGGCATTACTGTGCTTGATTGGCTAGCAAATGCGCCTGACCTGAACCCCATAGAGAATCTATGGGGCATTGCCAAGAGAAAGATGAGAGACATGAGAGCGATCAATGCAGAAGAGCTGAAGGCTGCTATTGAAGCATCCTGGTCTTCCATAACACCTCAGCAGTGCCACAGGCTGATAGCTTCCATGCCACGCCGCATCGAGGCAGTAATTGCTGCAAAAGGGGCCCAAACCAAGTACTGAGTACATATGCATGCTTATACTTTTCAGAGGTCCGATATTGTTCTATGTACAATCCTTGTTTTATTGATTGCATGTAATATTCTAATTTTCTGAGATTGTGGATTTGGGGTTTTCATGAGCTGTAAGCCATGATCATCACAATTATGACAAATCACGGCTTGAACTATCTTGCTTTGCATGTAATGAGTCTATCTCATATATTAGTTTTACCTTTTAAGTTGCATTACTGAAATAAATGAACTTTTGCACGATATTCAAATTTTTCGAGTTTTACCTGTATATTTAGACATATTGCATTTACTTTTATTAAAAATGTGAGTTTAGTGTCACTTTAATATCTGCATGTATTTGGGACATGCAATACATCCTTTCAGAAAGCACATTGGTTTTGAACTAGTAATAAAAATGTGGCACAAATATGCAACAGTTCAGCTCACAAAGTGCTGTATTCAGTCGTCCATGGGAAACAAACGATCTTCATGGGGGAACGTCATTTATAACCAAAAAGTGGATGAAGTGCTGCCAGCATGACAAGCCTTAGCAATAAGTTCAGAGACCTACATTGTGCAAGAGTTACATCAAGATCAAAAGGGTTGATGAGATAAACATTTTCAACTCATGGTGACTGGGCTGTTTAACTGGTAGAAATTAAGACTGAAGTTGTAACTGCTTCTCAGTGGTACTTGTATGCAAACTATAAAACCAAGAAATATTTGGTAGTAGATAAAAACAAAGAATAAATATCCAGCTGACCAAGAACCTAAAGTCTTAGCAGTTGTAGTTTTTCTATATCGCAACCAAATTCATTCTTGCAGGGACAGTTTTCCCTAGTAGTAACCTGATTGGGCTTCCTTTCCATGGGTAATAGGGGTACCGGTTTTGGCCTCCTCTATCCTTGATGTCAGTGTGCTACTAGACTTTTATTTGTTCTTCTAACTGACATGTTGCTCTGTTTCAAATGCTGCTTTATGCATTGACATACCTCCATAGACCCACCATATGGTCACCTGCTAATTTGGCACTGTCCTCAGGCAGCTTAACTCTTCAGTTAGACACAGAAGTTGAATCTGATGCAATTTTACTTCAGTTAAAGCGGAACTAAACCCTCCTATGATTTTCAGCTAAGGAAGCTGCCATATCAGCCTCTGTTTGATCTGCAACTGCCATGATGTTGCACATGTGACCAGTTATGACACCAGCAATTTTCTCAGGCGTGCCGGAAATTTTAACTGTTTTTTTATAAACAGTGAGTTTAGTTCCACATTAATTTAGCCAAGACCGTGGTAATTTTTGTTTCCAGGCTGCAAGGCATAGTCAATGCGCATGCTTTGGCACTTATTTACAGTGTTTATTTTCCTTCACGTGTGTTTTATTTTGCACTTATGTATGTGTTATTGTTCCTTTCACTCAGATGGATGGTGTGGGTCCTTAGGGGCTACCCTGAAGTTTAGGGGGAGGATGTGTGGCCACTAGGTTTTTTCCTCCCCTGAACCAGGGGGGTCTCTCTTCAGGGGAGCTCCTCACCTAGTGGTTGGATTTGACTGACCATGAGGAGAGAGGTCTAACAGGCATTTTGACTAGGAGTGATCCTTGCCCCTGTCAGAAGCCTTGCACCCTGGATTGTCAGGGAAGGGCCCTATTTCCTTAAATGCCACACCCCTAAGTGGCAATTTTTTTTGTGTGTGTGTGTGTGTTTTTTTTTTTTTTTTTTTTTAATGCACTTTTTTTGTTCAATTAAAAGTGTTTTTTTTTTGTGTACCACTGCAGGTTAAAAAAAAAATGCAGTACAGAGGATGTTTTTCTAGTCCTTTTGAAGTATAAGAAGACAATGACTTCCCTAAGACCTCTAGACCCCTGATGTCTCCATAAAGAGGACTTGTTACCTGCCCAGTACTATCATATATAGGGTTTGTTAGCCCTCTTATGATAGCAATCAAGTTAAATGAAAGCAATAAAAAAAGTAAAAAAACCAAACTCCATCACCCTGCACGCAGGGTGTGCAGGTATATGTAAATTACAATTTCACCACGAAAGGTATTTATTGTCAGAGTGAGAGCAATAATTCTAGGCCCTTCATTTACAGATTACTCTAAACCGATGAGCTGTTTAAACCATTGCCTGTTTTGGGTACCATCACTTTTAAAGGATAAGTTCACCTTTTAGACAAAAATAATAAATGCGCATTTTTTCCAGGTAAAAAATGTATTATTTTTGTCTACAGGAGCCTGGAAGTCTCCTGCAGACCTGTCAGAATATCTGCTTGCCGTACGGGATGTATGAGGAAGCAGATATTCTGACAGGAAAACATAAAAATTGCTGCGCTGCCTCTCCCAAAAACTACTTTATTAAATAAATGAACTCCCTACTACACAAAGAGTCCCCACAAATGTGCATGTGCTATAATACCCCGTGTGCTGGCAATTATATCTCTCCTCCCCAGTGACTAAATCCCAAATAAACCAATAAGTAAATACAAGGTGCTTAAACAACATAGTCATAAAAATAGCACATATACAATGCCATGAAACTGTGTATACATTGAAATTGTATAAAACAATATATATATATATATTAAAGTTCCAATAATTGTGCAAACATATAATAGTTCCCAAAAAAATTTAAAGTTCGGAAAAAAAACCCAAAGAAATCCGCATCCAGTGTGAATATTAAGTGATACAGTAGTAAATCTTCTTATCCATAGCAATTCTCTGTACGTAGTGCTCCCCCTCCAGAGCCCCACTTGCCACAGATAATTGACCACCTGGAATGGTAGGTCAAATATCGCATGAGATGTTGCAGCGCTCTCCTTCAGGAAAGTTGGCCATCTATGTGGTCTTGACAACTCTATACACTGATGACAGACTCCGTAGTAGAAACACCTCTATATCAATCGTTTGTCACACAAGATGCGGATGGGGGTTTCTTTGCGTCTTTTTTTTAACTTTTATATGTTTGCACAATTATTGGGACATATATAGTTTTATACAATTTCACTGTTCTCCCTTAATGGTCATTATTATCACATAGCCTTCTTCTCACAGGCACCTCTGATATGTTCGGGTTTTTCTTTTCCTGTATTCACCAACATTCTCAGCTTTTTTCTTCAGCAACATATAGGAAAATCCATTTTGGGTGCTTAAGTCTTCCAAGATCACTTATTCCAGGAGAGTCTGCACTGGTTCAGGGAGCCTACAGACATGCAATCTTCAGTTACCATAGGTGACTTGGTTCCATAAGGCTTGTTTTGGAGGACAGTGCAGATTAGAGACCAGCCATTTCAGAGCAGAAGTAAGGCAACCTTCTCGCGATGTCGCCGTACGGCAGCACTTTAGATGTGGAGGTGGTTTCCATGATTATGAAATCACAAGAGACTTTTAAAAATCCAAATAAAAAATCAACCAAATCTAAAAACTAGTAACATAAACAAAGTGTTGTACATTAGCTGTTTTCCAAAGTATATTGAATCCATAGTGTGCGTATATAGCAGACTGTGTTGAGTATATACATTACAGGTAGAGATGAGCGAAGTATTCAAAAATTCGATTCGACTGATTCGGCGAATTCGTGGAAAAATTTCGATTCGAGTCGAATATATTCGCTGCGAATTTAACTTATAAAAGGGTGTTTCTAGGCTTCAGAGAGCCTTTATATGAGTGCAGAACACTGTACCTTTAATTTAAATGCCCTTGGAGTCTGCTGGGGAAGAGAAATAATAAATGGAAACCACCAGCAGTGTGAGGAGACCTGAAAGTGGCACAAGGCAGAGTGTGGCGATGGAGACAGCAGCAATGGGAGGCCGTACAGGGACCCATGACACACTCTGGACCTGGCAGCAGCATGAGGAGGCGGTACAGGGGCCCATGACAGATTACGGGCCTGGCAGCAGCATGAGGAGGAGGTAAGGGGCCCATGGCAGATTAGGGGCCTGGCAGCAGCTATGGGAGGCCCGTAATCTGCCAGCACCCTATGTCAAAAAATGGAACACACCAGCAGTGTGAGGAGACCTGAAAGTGGCACATGGCATGAGACACTGTGGACCTGGCAGCAGCATGAGGAGGCGGTACAGGGGCCATGGCAGATTAGGGGCCTGGCAGCAGCTATGGGAGGCCCGTAATCTGCCAGCACCCTATGTCAAAAAATTGAACACACCAGCAGTGTGTGAGGAGACCTGAAAGTGGCACATGGCAGAGTGTGGCGATGGAGACAGCAGCAATGGGAGGCCGTACAGGGACCCATGAGAGACTCTGGACCTGGCAGCAGCATGAGGAGGCGGTATAGGGGCCCATGGCAGATTAGGGGCCTGGCAGCAGCTATGGGAGGCCCGTAATCTGCCAGCACCCTATGACAAAAAATGGAACACACCAGCAGTGTGAGGAGACCTGAAAGTGGCACATGGCAGAGTGTGGCGATGGAGACAGCAGCAATGGGAGGCCGTACAGGGACCCATGACAGACTCTGGACCTGGCAGCAGCATGAGGAGGCGGTATAGGGGCCCATGGCAGATTAGGGGCCTGGCAGCAGCTATGGGAGGCCCGTAATCTGCCAGCACCCTATGTCAAAAAATTGAACACACAGCAGCAGTGTGAGGAGACCTGAAAGTGGCACATGGCATGAGACACTGTGGCCGTACAGGGACCCATGAGCAGGCAGCAGCATGAGGAGGCGGTACGGGGGCCCATGGCAGATTAGGGGCCTGGCAGCAGCTATGGGAGGCCCGTAATCTGCCAGCACCCTATGTCAAAAAAATTGAACACACCAGCAGTGTGTGAGGAGACCTGAAAGTGGCACATGGCAGAGTGTGGCGATGGAGACAGCAGCAATGGGAGGCCGTACAGGGACCCATGAGAGACTCTGGACCTGGCAGCAGCATGAGGAGGCGGTATAGGGGCCCATGGCAGATTAGGGGGGCCTGGCAGCAGCATGGGAGGCCCGTAATCTGCCAGCACCCTATGTCAAAAAAAATGGAACACACCAGCAGTGTGTGAGGAGACCTGAAAGTGGCACATGGCAGAGTGTGGCGATGGAGACAGCAGCAATGGGAGGCCGTACAGGGACCCATGAGAGACTCTGGACCTGGCAGCAGCATGAGGAGGCGGTACAGGGGCCCATGGCAGATTAGGGGCCTGGCAGCAGCTATGGGAGGCCCGTAATCTGCCAGCACCCTATGACAAAAAATGGAACACACCAGCAGTGTGAGTAGACCTGAAAGTGGCACATGGCAGGGGCATGATTCATGGCGGATTTAGTCAGTTGTGTCAGGAACTGGTGGTTTGAAATCCAGACTAATCCACGCCTGATTCATTTTCACAAACGTGAGTCTCTCCACACTTTGGGTGGACAGTCGTGTCCTCCGCGGAGTTACAATACCTCCTGCCGCACTAAACACGCGCTCCGATGCCACGCTACTGGCCGGGCATGACAGCCTTTCAAGGGCAAATTCAGCTAGTTGGGGCCAAAGGTCAAGTTTCGTTGCCCAGTAGTCAAGGGGATTGTCTACCTCGGTTGGCAGGGTGCTGTCCAAGTAGGCCCAAGCCTGTTGTTTGAGGTCCTGCTCCAGGTCCACCTGATGCTGCTGCTGCTGCGGCTGGTTAGTAGTTTCCTCACTGCGCTGTGAAGAAAGCTACTCATCATCGACTGCAGACTGAGGCAGCCGCTGCTGGTGGAGCTACCACTGCTCCTACCACCCCCCACCCCTCCCCTGCTGCCATGGCAGCGGAACGCGAGCGCACAGGGCCCACAGTGTCTGAGGATGGACGTTGGCGCACAAAGGCAGAGACCAACTGACTACATAGGTGGTTTTTATAGTACGTTATTTTGGCCTCCCTCTCAGCAGGTGTGAAAAAGGCCACCATTTTTGAACGGTAGCGAGGGTCCAACAAGGTGGACAGCCAAAAGTCATCCCTCTGTCTGATGGTTATTATTCGGCTGTCGCTACGCAAGCAACCGAGCATGCTATGGGCCATTTGTGCCAAGGAATGCGAGGGACTCCCTGCCTCCATCTCCACAGCATACTGCCACGGTGCGTCTGGGTCCTCTGTCTCCTCCTCCTCCTCCTCTACTACAGATGCTCCTGCTCCTCCACTCCTGTCCGCTGAGTGGAAAAACCACCCATTTCACTCAATAATTCCTGAGCACAAATGTCCTCCTCTACCTCCTCCTCTTCTTCCTGTCCTGCCCCCACAGGGGTCATGTGGCGTTGAGATCTGTGCGCCACGTCTACCGCACCCTGACCAGCCATTGTTAACAGCATTTGTTCCAGGACGTGCAACAGAGGAATGACGTCGTTCATCCCATAGTCCTGCCGACTCACGAATAGCGTGGCCTCCTCAAAGGGCTGAGCAAGCGGCAGGTGTCACGCATGAGCTGCCAATGGCTGACATCGAAGTTACACAGGGGAGTACCTTTATCCGCTTGTAACATCAGGAAATCGGTGATGGCCTTTCGCTGTTCGTAAAGGCGGTCTAACATGTGTAGGGTTGAATTCCACCTTGTTGCAACGTCGCAGATCAGGCGATGCTGTGGAATTCCGTTCTGCCGCTGCAGCTCAAGGAGGGTGTGCTTTGCGGTGTAGGAATGGCTGAAATGCATGCAAAGTTTACGTGACATTTTAAGGAGTCTTGCAGTGGGATGGTGGATTTTAGGAACCGCTTGACAACCAGATTGAACACGTGAGCCATGCATGGCGCATGGCACAACCTTCCTTGACGCAGAGCAGACACCATGTTCTTTCCGTTGTCGGTCAACATGGTTCCGATTTTCAGTTTGCGCGGAGACAGCCATCTGTCGATTTCTCTGTTCATTACACTGAGAAGTTCCTCCCCTGTGTGACTACGTTCGCCAAGGCATACCAGGTGCAGCACAGCGTGACACCGTTGCGCCCTGCACATGTGATATGCCGGTCGGGTAATGGGACTTGGCACGGGGGTGGCGGCTGAGGACACGAAGGAAGAAGAGGGTGGTAGAGGCGGACATCTTTTGTGGACCAAGGACGTGCAAACGTGGAGGCAAAAGCGGCGTGACCTGTCCAAGTTGCTGGTGCGGCTGTGACGGCACCACGTTCACCCAGTGGGCCGTAAATGACATGTACTGTCCCTGACCGTAGTTACAGCTCCCACGTCGGCGCTGCCGTGCACTTTGGCAGAGACCGACATGCTCAAAGACTGGCCCACCATCTCTTCTACATGTGAATGCAGGGCTGGCACTGCCTTTTTGGCGAAGAAATGACGGCTTGGCACTCTCCACCGCGGCGCGGCACAAGCCATCATTTCTCGGAAAGGTGCTGAGTCCACCACTTGGAAAGGGAGGGACTGCAGCACCAGCAACTTGGACAGGAGGACGTTCAGCTTTTGCACCGTCGGGTGCGTGCTCGCAAACTGTTGTCTCTTGGAAACGGATTCCAAGAAAGACTGCTGACGGAATCCGTGAAGAGGAGTAGCAGGAGAAGGAGCATCTGAACGAGCGGAAGATGGCAACGAGCGACAACTCCCCTCAGCAGAGGTGTTGGAGCCTTGACTGGCTGATAGAGGGCGATTGACGTCGGGTGACGGAGCAAGTAACGGAGCGGGTGATGGAGCGGGGGGGGGGCAGGGGCAGAACCGCCGTATCTTTATCACGGTTTTCCCAGGCCACCAAATGGCGACGCTGCATATGCTGCCGCAACGCTGTAGTCCCAACATGGGCCCCCTGGCCACGCTTGACTTTCTGGCCACATAGTCGACATACGGCTACGTTTACTTCCTCGGGCGGCTTGACAAAAAATTGCCACACCGCCGAGTAGGAAACTTTGCCCCCGATACTCCTCACTGGCTGACTGCTGCTTCCTCCGTGCACACCGGCACCACTACTGGCCGTGGTGGTAGGCTGCAGTGGAGCTGGTGCTGTACTCCGTGGCCGTTTGCCTCCACTGACACTGCTGCGACCCTGCTGCCTCCTGGGCAACCCACCGACTGTTTTGCTCGCTGCCAAGCTGCCACCCTCTTCTCCTGATGATGCGGAAGCAATAGCCTGATGACGACGAGGCTGCCAAGTGCGATCAGCCTCATCATCATCAATTAGGGTCTCCGCCTCACTACTAGCCCCCTCGGCTGCGTGTGGGTCAGGAGACAGACCTGTCTCTAGACCGGCTACCGAGCCACTCTCCTCGCCACTACTTCTTCGCCTGGCTGCTGAAGAGGCGGATGTCTCCCCCCGTTCCTGACCGCCCTCTGTTTGCTCTTCCTCACTGTACAGTGGGGCTGAGCCCACAGCATGCGATACTTCGCTTGGTGAGGGAACACCAAAGGACAGGGGCAGGTAGAGGACACGTGATTTCAGTGGGCTTGCTCCCGGGCCATGCCAACTAACGGTTGTGTCTGACGTACCCACCGACCGTTGGCTGTAGGTGTCAGAGGTGACCTGGGAAGAGGAAGACGACCGAGCCAACCAATCGATGACGGCAGGGTTGTCGGTGGAGACACGACCGCTGGATGACACCGGGAGCACTGGCCTCTGGCTGCGAATAGTGCTGCCTCGACCCCTTCCTCTGCTGCCACGTCTGCTCGCTCCTAAAACATTGCCTCCTCTGCCACTCCTCTGCATGTTGTCTGACATACTCTTTAATTAAACGATTCTGTGTCCCTGAGTAACAATTCTGTGTCTGTCCCTGAGTAACAATTCTGTGTCCCTGAGTAACGTTTCTGTGGCCCTGAGTAACAATTCTGTGTCCCTCAGTAACAATTCAATTCTGTGTCCCTCAGTAACAATTCTGTGTCCCTGAGTAACAATTCTGTGTCCCTGAGTAACAATTCTGTGTCTGTCCCTGAGTAACAATTCTGTGTCCCTGAGTAACAATTCTGTGTCCCTGTAACAATTCTGTGTCCCTCAGTAACAATTCTGTGTCCCTCAGTAACAATTCTGTGTCCCTCAGTAACAATTCTGTGTCCCCTGAGTAACAATTCTGTGTCCCCCAGTAACAATTCTGTGTCCCTCAGTAACAATTCTGTGTCCCTCAGTAACAATTCTGTGTCCCTCAGTAACAATTCTGTGTCCCTCAGTGTCCCTGAGTAACAATTCTGTGTCCCTCCCTAAGTAACAATTCTGTGTCCCTAAGTAACAATTCTGTGTCCCTCAGTAACAATTCTGTGGCCCTGAGTAAATTTCTGTGGCCCTAGTAACGTTTCTGTGTCCCTGAGTAACAATTCTGTGTCCCTCAGTAACAATTCTGTGTCCCTCAGTAACAATTCTGTGTCCCTCTGAGTAACAATTCTGTGTCCCTGAGTAACAATTCTGTGTCCCTGAGTAACAATTCTGTGTCCCTGAGTAACAATTCTGTGTCCCTGAGTAACAATTCTGTGTCCCTCAGTAACAATTCTGTGTCCCTCAGTAAACAATTCTGTGTCCCTCAGTAACAATTCTGTGTCCCTCAGTAACAATTCTGTGTCCCTCAGTAACAATTCTGTGTCCCTCAGTAACAATTCTGTGTCCCCAGTAACAATTCTGTGTTCTGTAACAATTCTGTCCCCTCAGTAACAATTCTGTGTCTAAGTCCCTGAGTAACAATTCTGTGTCCCTAAGTAACGTTTTCTGTGGCCCTAAGTAACGGTTCTGTGGCCCTCAGTAACAATTCTGTGTCCCTCAGTCCCTCAGTAACAATTCTGTGTCTGTCCCTGAGTAACAATTCTGTGTCCCTAAGTAACTTTCTGTGGCCCTAAGTAACGTTTCTGTGGCCCTAAGTAAACAATTCTGTGTTCTGTGGCCCTAAGTAACAATTCTGTGGCCCTAAGTAACGTTTCTGTGGCCCTCAAGTAACAATTCTGTGGCCCTCAGTAACAATTCTGTGGCCCTCAGTAACAGTTCTGTGTCTCAGTAACAATTCTGTGTGTGGCCCTCAGTAA